TTTGCCTTAGTTCAATTGCCGCTGTTGCATTTAATCTCTACGACTAATTAACTTCTTATCTTTTCTACAAGAACCTCTCCGTCATCTAAATACTCAATGCTACATATAGTTCGCAGAAAATGCATTTTACTATGCACTTGTTTTATTGTCCTCATTTTGTTGAAGCCGTCTGCAAGCTCTCAAATTTCCGCTAGACAAAGGCAAGATGGTCTACCACTGGGACGCGGACCTCATGGCAGGCCCTTAGACGGAATTACTGGGCAGGAAGTCCCTTGGGAAGGGGTATGGAAACCTGAAATTGTGGAAGTCCCATTCGAACAACCATTACCGAGTAGAATCGACGCTTTAGACGATAACATTATTGGTATTATTGACCATAGAAGTAATGAATCTTCTGGTGAAGTAATGCTGGTGAACGGCGCTGTTCGGAACGAAGGCACAGTAGTCATTAACGTCAAAGGACGATGGGGCGTTATTTGTGATGACAATTGGACATTGAAGGAGGCCAATGTGGTATGCAGACAACTTGGATATCATTATGCAATGAGAGCCACAAGTCGAGATTACTTCAATACTAGAGGACAGTGTAAGTGCTAAAAATTATATAATTTTTTTGGACTCATATACTAAATTACAGCTGAAGCATGAATACAAAAACGCTTAGTGAGTTTCCTTGTAGCTCATAATTGATAATGATAAAATGCCGATGCTTGCGTGCCAGCTAGCAGAGGCTAGCTGACAGACATGGAAGTCACAATGCAATAGTGTAGATATGGGCTGCAAACTTCAAGAGCATGACACTTTTTATTACGAAATAGGATTTGTTTTGGTAATTCCATGCTTTTTAGGATAGGCTTCCACTGTGGTTTTATTCACGAGGGGTCATTTTTCGTCACATATTCCAATTTAATATGCGACTCATTAGTCCACAGACTATAATCGGTCACAAGTATATCGAAATTGGGAAGAATCCCATAGGGGACAAACAAAAGTTAATAAAAATTAGCCCAGTTAACTTTATTAAATATGCTAACTAATTTTCATTCCCAGTTAAGTCAATATACGTTACTCTAGCAAGCCACATAAAATCATTGTAAAAGCGACTTCTAAAATGATATAGAAACGCATTTCGTGAACGTTCACAAGCTTTTCAATAGGCAAAATCAATTAATTTTTTGGAGAAGTACTAATATAATCATAAAATGTATTGTAAACGCTTTCATATATGAACTTTTTTTATTTTCTTTGGAATGAAATAATTAGGGCAGAAAGTGGGGTACTAATGGAGAAGCGACAAGATCCAACTAGCAAAGATTTAGCTGAACTGAAACGCAAAACCTTTTAAGTACAAATTGGCCATTTCGAGGCTACCACATTCTTTTTTCTGTTCACTTCTCATAAACCAAATTCATCCTATGAATTTAAATTTAAAGTAATCATACCAATTGTATTAAAAAACAGGACTATTTTGTATGGCTATATAGATACTTTCAAATGGTATACGATACTTTTAAATCAGCAAGTTAAACTTGCTTACATTTATGAAGATATATCTTGTGTATTCGCTTTAAGTTGGAATAAGTTAAGCTGGAAACCTACCTAATAAGGAAATTTAAAGTTATTTGCTTAAATACGACTAACTATAAGTAAGTTATTCTTTGCTAAATTGACACTTAATAACGTTAAGCACTGAACTTGTACTTTTAGTAAAAGCATAAAATATGCACGAAGAAAAATGATCTCAAAAAAATGTCATGGCTCGAACTCAGCTATTTTCTTTAGCAAATTCTCAAAATAAGAAGAAAATTACAAATTCCATGTATAAAAATAGAATGAAGTTAGTTTTC